AGTTTAAGGAGGATTATCTGAATTATACTCGATCCGCGTTGCAGGTTTGTCTATCGCTCCTTTATATCTGTCCTTTTGTATTTTGTGCATATTCTAACACCGTTTTTGTCTTTTTTCTAGTCGATCGCCTATGGCAACGCTCTCTTCTTCAAATACGAAAAGAGGGTGAAGTCGCGCTCTACGGCGAATCACGCCTTCTTGATGATGGAGAAATGCGCCAAAGAGGCTCAGGACAAAGTGGCCATGCTGCGTAAGCAAGTGGGAGGCTTGGAGGAATAGGCCAAGGTTCAAGAGGGAGTCGTCGCTTCCTTAGAGGATACAATTGCCGGCCTTCGGGCCGAGAATGCGACCCTTGGTGCGGAGAAGGCGAAAGCCGATGGCGACCTTCAGCTCCTTCAGCAATTCTGCGAATCCGAATGCTGGCGACTTCGCCTAGATCGGCAGGCTGTGGTTGAGCGCACGAGGAAGAAGGCCCAAGATCGCCTAGATCGGGTGAAGGCGTTCCTGGCCGAGCAAGAGGGTATATGGGCCAAGAGAGAGCCTACATGCGTAGATTGGGCCCACATGAGAGAGATTAGGGTCGATGCGCTGCAACGCTGTAAGGATGTCATGTGGCGGGGTGTGCCACATGGCGGAGTATCACACAGGGCGGGTTGTTACAAAGACGAAAAGATTATTGGAATAATTGATTCCAGTACAAGTGGGAGATTTTTGGGAATATCCTTAAATCATTTTTACTTACTTTAGTTTAATTTGTATCGTCAATGTTCGACAGTCGAATAATATTAGATGATTATTATATTTTGCTAGAAACCTTTTATAATCGATGACTTTATAAGTTCATTACTAATATTATACGATCCTATAGTATGACACATCTAAACAGACTAGATCAAGGTTGTGCTATATAATATAACATATGTTATATGAGAATATACATAATAATTTATATTTGTGCAATTTAACAATGATTAATATAATTAATAGATATATATTAAAAATACATTCATAATACATTCATACATAAATTAAAAATTAAACAAATATAACATATTATAAAATAAATCATGAATAAAAATATTTATTTAGTTAAACTCAAAATCTATTTTATTTGTAAAATGTAAATCCTAATTCTCCTTGATGAACCCAAAATGATAAATAACCTTGTTTAATTGTAAAACCTAAACTTCACTACTCTTTATAAACCCAAACCAATAAATAATCTCGTTTAACTATAAAATCTAAACTATAATGCGCATTTATAAACTCAAACAACCATATAACCCTTATAATTGTAAAACCTACAACTGGCAAAACCTAAAATTAGGTTAATAATTGAAAGAGATTTTTTGAGAAATATTTTTTTTGGTGTACCTCTTTTCAAAAATACACCAAGTTTCTATCCATTTTTGAAAATATCCTTTTTGGTGTACCCTTTTTTAAAAATACACCAGGTTTCTATCCATTTATAAAAATACCCCTTTTCAAATATGAAAAATTGTAAACTTTTATATAGTTTATAAGGTATATCTAGATCACTACTGGGAGACTCAACACAAATATTTATAAAATTTTAAAATGTTCTAAACGGAATTTATAAGACTTTTATAAGGTTTTTATATGGTTTTTAAATAATTTTTGAATGGTTTTTAAAAGGTATTTATACGGTATTTATGAAATATAGATATAAATTTACACACATATAAAGATAATTTGTGTCTATATATATAAGCTTACACATATTTTTATTTATAAATATCATTTTTTTTTACTTTTTAATTTATCAAAAATACCCTTTTTCCAATACCACTTTTTTAAAAATACCCATATTTCAAACTTTATCAAAAAACCACTAAAAATGTTGAAATTTATCCAAATATGTGTGTAAACTTATAGATATACACACAAATTACCTTTATATATGTATAAATTTTCATATAATTTTCATAAATAGCATAAAATAACTTATAAATACCTTTTAAATTTTTTTCATAAACCTTATAAACCCTTTTAAAAACCATTTATAAACCTTATAAAACTTGTAAAAACGATTTAAAACCTTTTAGAACTTTATAAAATATTTGTATCCAATTTCCTAGTAGTAGTTATTATATAAAAAGTATCTTATAAACCATATAAAACTGTATAATTTTTCATATTTAAACAGAAATATTTTTGAAAATGGATAGATAAATGGGGTATTTTTGAAAAGGGGTACACCAAAAGGGGTATTTCTCAAAAAAATCTCTTTCTTTTTATAATTATTATATTTTATTTTTAATGTTGTTTAGAAATTCTAATTTACAAAGATAAACCATAATTCTCATTTATCATTTATATACCCAAACCAACAAATAACCTGTTTTAATTGTAAAATTAAATTTTAAACCTTAATCCTCTTATGTAAACAAAAACCGACATATATTCTTGTTAATTATAAATTTTAAATCCCTATCTTATTAATACACCAAACTGACATAACTGAAATTATTTAATTTTATTAATATTTTTTTAATATATAATTCTTTATAATATTTTTTTTATATATTTCCTTTTTCGATAGGGTTAATAATTTTCTATTTTATCTAAATATTAAAAATATTAGAATCAACACGTGTCAACATCTTATCGTTTATAATTGACACATGTCACGATCTTGTTAATGGCTGACTTTGAAAACCAAGTTTTATATAATAAGATATATGTATATATACTACATGCACGTAGAAGAAGAGAGTTGGACTGGGCCCATTAGCAAACCTAAACGAATTAGGTTTTGAGATTTGATCTCGACGGCACTAACCATAAGTCAAGAGACAAAACAATTTGTTTTGATATTTGATCTCGACGGCACTAGCATCCCGTGTGATGCAGTTTGTGTGTGTGTGAATACCAGTAGAGGCACAACGTTTGGAGTGATTTATAACTTTGATTTATTTTAGTTCAACATTCCGCTGTGAATTACCTATATATATATTCATAATCTAATAACATAGATTTTAATTCAATATTAACATGAATCCTGACAACTGAATTTGTAATTAATTTTCTAAATCGTTATAAACTGGTACAAATTCATTTAGTACTCTTTCCCAAAATAGGAAATTAATTGTCAGATTTTTATTTGTCAATCTAGCTACATAAATTCCACCTAAATTTTTGGCTACTTACTACAATTTTTCTTATATAAATAAAGTATTTTTCTTTTTTGTGAATATATAAATAAAATATATTGAAGTAAAAGGAAGAAACTTAGAAAATAAAAAATAAAAACAAAATGAGGTAGTTTAGTCAAAAAGATCCCGAAAAGAGAGCAATAACACATAACTCACACGCTTCTCACGTACAATGGCCACCTCCTTTACCAACTATTTCTGCATGGCTATAAAAAAAGAATCTCTAATAACCCCAAAACTCAAAAATTCATCATTTTAGCAAACAACAACAACAGCAAACACAAACTCTCTTCGTCAACGATCCAAACACGTTCACGTCGGAGAATTTTATACAAATCTCTCCTTCGTAACAAAAAGATATTGTCGTGATGGCTACAGGATCTATGGATGGAATATTCCGAAACATCTTCGAAGGTTGCATCTCTAGCTGTGACTCTTCGATCCAGCGACGTCCATACCATAAGAACTGCGGCTGCGCGCTTCACGGTGGAGGTTCCACGACTCCTTGTCGTCATGGAAGGTCTGAGATTGTTGTGTTCCCAATCCAAAGGTCTTGGAGTGAAGGTAACAGTTTGGCTTTGCATCTTATCTCATCTTCTTCTTCATCTAACCTCCAGTCTCTTTCGTCGTCTTCGTCTATCTCTACCCTCGCGTCGTTGTCTTCGACCGTGTCTGATATTGATTCTCCCATTTAAATTTGATTCATTCAATTGTATCGTTTTTAAAAGTTTGAATTCGCCGGTTCGAGTAACGCTTGGGACGAAACCATATAATATGCTCTGGTTTCGGACCTGGTGTATGGGCTTAGGCCCTGAACTTGTTTGATTATTCAAAAAAAAAACAATTGTGTCGTTTTTGTTTTCGAAGAGAGTCATGATGACAAGTGATATGTTTGATGTGTGATTAGGGAGGTTTCGTTGGTTATCAAAGGAAACCTAATTCAAATGTTGTAATGGTCAAATTCATAGGGAGGCTTTTGAATAACATTTGTACATAATTAATCACGTTTTCGGATGTATTTTTTAGTTTATGTTTTGTGATATAATATGATGATATTTAAACTCATTTTGTTCTATATTATTGGTTTTATATCTTGTCTTCATATTGTTTTGATTAATTAATTATAACACGTACGTTATCAATTGTTTAAATCTCTTGACATTCTTATTTTGGAGTTGTTGAACGACTTAGATTGTTTCTTGCAAGAAAAGACAAAAATAAATAAATTATTAATCTAAATGTAGAAATTAAATAAAGCATGATCGATTTTTCGTAATTGCGGCATAGTGAGATGGTAAATACGTTTTTCTGAATGCACGAAAAAAGTTGTATATGCAAATTGAAAATCGAGTCCTAAAGTGTTTAGTAAATAAATAATTGAGCTACTGATTAAAAAGTATAGAGATCTTCTTCATTTATTCTTAACTGAATCTGTAGTCAATGAAACAGAAATATGGAGAACTAGCTAAAGAAGATAGAAATATTTTTGTAAATTCGCTCAAAAATCAAAAATCAGAAAATTGTAGATTTATATATTTTGGAAAAAAGACAAACTGTGTTGTTACATTTTTATACCAAAACTAGTGATGGACCCGCACGTACGTGCGGGGTTATTTTTACAAAATTACGATTTTTTATGTAGAAGCTATTTTGGTAAAATTTTGTTTTATGAGTTTATTTGATAAACTATATATAGACATATAGTTGTAAAATATAGATATTGTATTACATAATAAAATTTTATAATTGTAATTTTAAAATAATTTAAATGAAGATAATAAGTGATATTACATGTTTATTTTTTTATTTAATCAAAACATTTCTAACTGCTTGCTTAGAGATGTTAAATCGGATTTGGGTTTGGCTTTAGTTTGAATTGTTTTATGTGTAGTTTAGAATTGAAAACCTGTCATGTCCCTTTCTGTCTCGTCCTGACCCGTCCCGTCCCGTCCCGTCTTATATCTGTCATAAAAGTTCTGTCCCGTAATCGTTTCTTTTTAAAACATAATCATTTGCCAATCATATATATATAAGTAAATTTTCACTCTCTCCTTATTGGTGGAAAAATATTTAAGGCTTTAATTTTTAAATAAATAAATAAATAAATGTTTATGACAATCACTCAATACAAAATTTAATTACACTATAAGTTATAATCAAATGGCAAAGAAAATGAAAGGGCTTAATCATATATCATACAACAAATTTTATAAGGTTTATTGGTGGAAAATTATTTAAAATCATATATATAAAAGTAAGGTTTCACTCTCTTTATTGTTCCATTTTGTATTTATTTTTAAAATATAATACATATTTTTAACCAAAAACACATTTAATCATATACATTAATTCATACTTTAAATTCACACTTTACTACTAAAATGAAACTGAAAATTATATAAATTTCCAAAGACTATTGGTTTTCTTTATTGAATTCCAATTAAACACACTATAAATTATAATTATAACTCCTCTAATTAAATTATTTTAAAAATGTAACTTACATCACTTCTTATCATATAAATAGCCATTCTC